GATATTCTACCAGTCTCTATGCCCTACCGATAAATGGTGCGTACCATCAGTCCCGCCGAGCAAGCGACTTCGGCCACTTGCTTAGCGGTGTCTATAATGCTTCCCCCATTTATCAGAGGCCTTAGAGACTATTGTTGGGCGGGAAACGTCCTGGAATTTGGCTCAGTGATCCCCTTTGGGGATATGAGGTTCTTTTGCGTGCCGTAAAGTTACGACACGGGACACACAGCTTAAAGTCCCTCCCGGAGGACTTGTTCCCTGAATACAACACATGTAAGGTCACACACTAAGTCTTCTTGGCACAGTCTAATTCCTTGTACGACTTCTGGTCACACTACTGTTGCCTTGAAACTTCGGAACTCAACTAATCTAATCTCAGCTGCAAACACACTTCCGTTATATAGACATGCACGCACCATACAGAAAACACAACACTCAAACTGTTGCGTTAGAAAACACTTGCATCTTATTGTTGCTTGGCGCGAATGTTGGAACGTGTTTACCGAGCCGTTATCTAGCAATGTTTTGTCCAAATCCGTTAAATATTGTAGCAATATAAATGTCATAGCTAACATTTGAATGCCTAGGGCAACTAAATAGCTGCCACTGAAGAAATTGGCCTGGCTGGACGTGGTGTACATGCAGGTTCGATAAGAGTTGTATTCTTCTTTGTATTTTCTCATCCACATACTGAATTCCAGTATACAGAAATAACATGCTTCCAAAATCTTCGTGTGAGCTGTCATTTCATCCACCAGAGGAATCAGCTCGTGACAACCCTTACGGAGTGGGGTGCCGACTGGTGCTAAATCACAGGGATGTAAGCAACTCCGAAGGATTGTCGTGGTATTGAACGTTGGTGCTGTTTACATAGATCCACATCAGAATGAAGTTGAGTAGGTACAGAACAAGATTCTATCTCGGAACAGTGGTTCTCTCACTTCGAGAACAAACACCTCCGAAACGTTAGTGCATGATATAACGTCACATCACAGACGACCTTAATTTTAAATATTAGCCCGGTGAAACTGATCTAAATCTTTGCGACGATGGTATATTAATACAATTATTGTCTTTATTAACATTATTCATTGTCCAGCTTCTGTGTAAAACATAGGATGTTTCGGAGAATGGAATGTCCCCTTCTTCAGGTGAAATGTACTGTTGGGCCAAATCGATAGACCTAATCCATATCACCGGAGATAGGGCCCAGCTCTATGGACTATTATTATTATTATTATTGGAGGGGGTGGGTTTCCCCATGCACCGCGACTAATAGTCTATTGTACGTCCCCCTTTGATATTCTACCAGTCGCCACACGCTACCGGTACTGGTGCTCGCTATCAGCCCCGTTCAGCCAGCGAAGCTAGCAGTGGTTTCCGATACTTCCCCATCTACCGGAGGCATTTGAAACTACTTGGTCGGGAAACTTTGCCTAATTTTGCTCAGAGATCTCATAGAGACATGAGGATCTTTTACGTAGCTCTATGGACTAAGTAAATAAAGTAAATAAAAACAGGACGATGAATAGTGTCCAGGAACACAGTAATTGTTTCAGTCCGGTAAAAAAAAAGCTGGCTTTGTAATAGGCCATGAAGCCCCATAGGGTTGTGAGACGTTCAGGCTCCCACATTTTGTAGAAAGACGGTTTACAGATGGCGGTGAGGTTGTCAGCCTTACGCGCGGGCCGCCCTTTACTGCCCAAGAATATTCCTGGTACTCATTTCTGTTAAGGCTAAGGCGACCCCAGGGCCATAGTGCGGCTGGAAGGATAGGTCAATTTAAAAATCCAGTAACCTCATCGGAACTCGAACCCGCGGGCTTCCGGCTTCTCCGTACTCGTTTTAGTCCGTTAAAAGTAATAAATCGAGAACTTCTTATTATAGAGCGATAGGCCTGAAGATGCAAATTAATTTTCACACGGGTTTCGGGGAGAAATCTCTTTATGTGACACGTATTTTACCTGCAAAATGTAAAAAAAAAAAAAAAACATTTGTTGCTTTCATTTCTTTATTTATGATGTTCTTAAAGTAGATTGTTCAGTATCTAATTATCGGATGATTAATAAAGAAGGTAAATGAAAGTCATTTTCTTCGAAAGATTCTAAAATATCAATCTCATTCTTTCCTAGAGATAGTTATAGCAGATCCACTGAAATATTCACAGTCACCTAACAGACTAGACGGTGTCACAATCTAAACACTCATGCTTTTTTTTCTGTGGCGCTATAGCCCCAATTTTGGCCTAGGCCTACCTCCATGAAACTCTCCGTTTCACTTCGGTTTACTAGATCTTACACATTCGGTAGGACTCCTTGGGCGAGTGATCAGCTCGTCGCAAGGCCTCTACCTGTACACAAACAGAAAAACGCACACACACAAACTAAACATCCATGCCCTGAGTGGGATTCGAACCCACGATCCCGGTTTCCAAGCGAGCGAAGACAGTACATGCCTTAGACCGCTCGGCTACTGTGACCGGCAGTGTATAAGAATAATATATAAGAATTCAGTTCGTACCTCACAGGAAACAGATCCGAACCCACGATCCCGGTTTCCGAGCGAGCGAAGATAGTACATGCCTTAGACCGCTCGGCNACTGCCATAACCGGCAGTGTATAAGAATAATATATAAGAATTCAGTTCGTACCTCACAGGAACCAGACCCGAACCCACGATCCCGGATTCCAAGCGAGCGAAGACAGTGCATGCCTTAGACCGTTCGGCTACCGTGACCGGCAGTGCATAAGAATAATATATAAGAATACAGTTCGTACCTCACAGGAACCAGACCCGAACCCACGATCCCGGATTCCAAGCGAGCGAAGACAGTGCATGCCTTAGACCGTTCGGCTACCGTGACCGGCAGTGCATAAGAATAATATATAAGAATACAGTTCGTACCTCACAGGAACCAGACCCGAACCCACGATCCCGGATTCCAAGCGAGCGAAGACAGTGCATGCCTTAGACCGTTCGGCTACCGTGACCGGCAGTGCATAAGAATAATATATAAGAATACAGTTCGTACCTCACAGGAACCAGACCCGAACCCACGATCCCGGATTCCAAGCGAGCGAAGACAGTGCATGCCTTAGACCGTTCGGCTACCGTGACCGGCAGTGCATAAGAATAATATATAAGAATACAGTTCGTACCTCACAGGAACCAGACCCGAACCCACGATCCCGGATTCCAAGCGAGCGAAGACAGTGCATGCCTTAGACCGTTCGGCTACCGTGACCGGCAGTGCATAAGAATAATATATAAGAATACAGTTCGTACCTCACAGGAACCAGACCCGAACCCACGATCCCGGATTCCAAGCGAGCGAAGACAGTTCATGCCTTAGACCGCTCGGCTACCGTGACCGGCAAACACTCATGCCTGGTTAATATAAACTTCGACTTGTACCGCGCGAGAAGAGATTACCGCACACGAGTCCGTGAAACTCGTTTCTGGCAAAAGAATGTGTCTGCAGAAATTGTGCCATGGAAATAAATCTAAGATTAAATGGCGCATGAGAAGGTAGCAGGGAATGTGCTTCAAAACTGTGGGATGTAACGACGATAGAAAGTAAATGTCCTGATGAATGCGAGATCCGTGACCGCGGTGAGCAGGGAAAAAACCAAAGAAATTGCTATTACTCAGTCATCAGATTTAGCGGAGATGCGAAAGCGGTCAACGGGGCATGCGGGAAGCTCGATAACAAATGGGTGCACCATTTACTTTACTCTTACTCTTAATCTTATCCGAGACAACTTTTTGTTTTACGGACATTTGAGGAAAATCGTGAAACTCAGATTATAAAAACGAGTCTTTTTGTTCGGTAAGTTGTATTTCTTCGTGATCTATATATTTCTCTGAAGTCTGAAATTCTTGCAAGTAACATACAGAAATTCAGTTCGAACCTCACAGAGAATACACTACATTTCCATTATAACGACCAATAATGTAACCTTCATTTTATGCATCCTGTTGTGTTACAATATATAACTTTATAAATGACCGTTGTATTTTTACACAAAGAATTAACTATTTTGTCATTATGTAAGATTTGAGGCTTTCACGGCGGTGACTATGAAGTAAGCAGTCTTTTGGGATTTGGCACCGTGTATATGTGGTGTTAACCGACGTTTCGGAGGAAAGTATCGCCTCCATCTTCAGGGTAGAAGAAAATATAAGAAATCCGCAAGCGAAGAGACCGTGAGAACCGGTAAAAGCAGACTGTCATTGTATCTAATTTTACTACAGTTCAATAGTATACGTTTGTTGATTTGTATTCACCTGATGATGGCCGTTAACGGCCGAAACATGTAGTGAGGCATAGCTGGGTATTGACCTTGATACTCCTTAGTTGTGTTGTGACGGAAAAATAAAGTTATAAATAGTGTAACCTGTTTAGAAAAGCTGCCCCTTCTAAGGATCATATGAAACATATAAACCAACTGTGTAAGATTTGAGGTTTTCACGGCGGTGTCTATGAAGAAAGAAGTCTTCTGGGATATGGCGCCGTGTAGATATTGTGTTAACCGACGTTGCGGAGGAACGTATCGCCTCCATATTCAGGGTAGAAGAAGGTTCGCTCGCTGATTTCTTCTTCTCTTCTATCCTGAAGATGGAAGCGATACGTTCCTCCGAAACGTCGGTTAATACAATATCTACACGGCGCCACATCCCAGAAGACTGCTGTCTTCTAGTGTGTTACTTTGTTCTGTTACTTTATGACGCTTAATGAACAAATTACACTTCGGAAGCGAGCGTTGTCACTGCAGCATGGCGGGTGCTCAGGTTGCGGGAGATTGGCGTCTGTCATGAAGAGAAACTACATACACGGATATGCTACGGGCCATGTTCATCAAGCTGTTCAGTTTGAGCTTAACTCTTAAGCACAGCATGTTACAAAATTTGTACAGTAACAAATTCTTTGAACATAATAATGAAACATAAGATCTCATAACTGAAATTCTTGGCCAGCTGAGCGACTGTCAGGGACTTACCGTGATCCTGAAATCGTGCGGATCGCAAGTGTCGTACCGTCTCCGGAACCTGATGACCGTGTGGGTCCCGTTCTCATACCCCAGCAGCAGCTCGTAGTCTTGGCTCGAGTCCACGTCTGGCTCGGTCCTCTCCAGGGCGTGCCGATCCTGCAACCAGACCAAGAGACGCCTCAGTTACGTAACCCTGCACGCTGACGGACTCGAAAGTAGGAAAGTTCAAAACTTTACATAAACGATCCAAAACATTCAAGGGGATTCGTGTTTCTCGAGGCGTTGAAGAGAATATTTACGTCTTCAGGCACGTCAAGCAGTGCAGCTTGATACACAGGTATCATCATTTGGGAGTAATACAGCTTCCATTCTCAAAGAAGTCACACAGGACCATAATTTTGTATACATTTCTTAGATTTTGATATATTTCAGTCTTGCTCAGAATCACAAGTGCAAGGAATTTGTCGCATCTCGGTGCCTGCCGCCCATATACTCCGTAGTGCAGAAGCTTCCGTGTTCATTTTCATAGACAAGGAGTTGCATTTCATTGATAAAAATGGAGAGGGCTGTCTGTGGAGCTTGAAGGTGGAACCTGGAACTTCGGAATATTGGCAGCACTGATAGAGGGAAGTCAAGGATGCTTTGAGGATATGGCAGTAGCAGGTCCTGCCGGATACCTACTGAACTACAGGCAGCAGATTGGCTTGCAATTTGAAATATTTTTACATAATATATAAAACCTCATTTCCCACTTAAAAACAAGCTCATTGCAGATCATTTCAAATACTAAGCCGTTAATTTTGCTTGTTGAAGAAATCATTGTTCATTCTGAGAATTACATGAAACCCAAAAAGACTTTCTCTGGCAAAATTGTAGGCATATTAAATGCTAAAGTAAATGGAACGTAAAATTATCTCTGTGACTTAATGGACAAATTTACAATGCACAAAAGAAAATACAAATTCGCCGATGCGCAGAAAGCATTCAGAAATGGCTGCTTCATATTCCAACACAGGCAGAAGAACATGGTATAGTTCCTTAATTTAAGTTCACAACAAAAAAAAACCTCTAAGAAATAACAGGAGTGAAATTAAGCAACTGAAGACTAAAGTTTAACAAATTCTTGTTCCTTTTGGCTCACAAAACAACTTAGCCCCTTCCACACTCTAACAACGTTTCCTTATGCCGTTAGTTGTTCCAGCACTTTAAATTTTGTTAATGTAATTAAGAGAGAAATGGTCAATGAGGTCATGAATCAAACCCAAAACTTGAGTAGATAATGAAAAGTTCAGTCCAGTGTGACATACGAGTTTACAACACTTCAGTCCTCATTCACCTTACATGTTTCGATTCAAAAGAATAATCTTCAGAGGCGCACCACTACGATAAGGAAACACTGTCACATAAGATATTTTAACAATATGCACTTTAGATATGACTAATGCTCTCTATATAAATTTTCATAATCTACTCTGTAATTAATAGTGTGACGGACCAAAATGAGACAAGTTAAATTACCAAAACTTGAGCCTCAGTGTTTGCACATAACTTAATATCCGTGGTTGCCGTGTATTTTGAGAGACACACGAGATAAATGTCATAATATCCTGGAATGTTCTCTGTTAGGTCCGCCCAAAAACAGGAAGCATGAAGGGACAGGGCTTCCGGATTGTCATTTGTTGTACGTAATGCAAAAATATCTATAATTAAATTATAATATTGGATATAAACTAATATGATTAATAAAATTATTCCTAAGAGACGTGCCATTATATTACTGAAATGAGAAGTCAGTCATGCAAAGCACAATGGCTATACGTAACATCTCCTCTGCACTATAAACACTCAGTTACTGCTGAGATGAATTTCAGACATTAAAGCTGACGTGTTGTTCTGAACAGCCGATGACGTGTTTCCTGTTTCAAGACGACAAGAAGAGAAATACAATGCTCGCTACCTAAACGTATACTGTCCTTGTATTTGGTTGGTTAAGAGGAAGAAGGAAGAGGTAAAACTAGGCACGGAATTGGTGAACAGGTATGGAAATTACTTACAGTGCACGTAACGTCCAGTAAGACAAGCTATGTGTCATCCTTCTTAAACAGCAGACACAAAGAGGAGATTGTTTGCATAATTCATCCTTCTGAATACATGTTCCGGATATGCTGCAGTGGTAATTTACGTAACACCCAAATAATTACAGTGTACATCACAGCGAACTTCCGCCTATTACAATAGTCCTTTTTTAATGAAAAGCCGAGTGGCTCCGCTGGACACGAATTTTTACGCTGATGAAAGAAAGATAGAGGGGCGGCTAGAAGTGACAAGAAGACGAGGAAGAAGACGTAAGAAGATGCTGGATGACCTTGGGGACAGAAGAGGATACTGTCATTTGAAGGAGAAAGCTCTAGATCGCATTAAATGGAGGAATTGTTTTGGAAGAGACTGTGGACCTGTCGTCTTGACAGATTACTGATGATGATGATGATGAATAGCTAAAATACTTTCAATTCACCCTGGTATTTTATAAATAAATTTACGTTGATGTAATGGAATATATTTATGTAACACATATTCACTAATTATATGTTTTATATTTGACAGAAGAAACAAATCCTCTAACACCTGTTCTTAATAGAATTTCCGAAGCATTGTAAACAAAACTACAATTATCTTGTTAGAAACAGGGACTACTGCAGTTGTCCGTTAATATTGGAATTGAAATTTGAAGGCATGCTATTTGTTGTTGCTTTAGTAAAAGTTAGTTCTTGCAATATTTTTATTTTTCAGGAGTATTTTTTGTTGATTTTATGATTTCAGAGAAATGTCCATAGACGTTCTGTTAGATACCGAAGTCCTAGGAGTGCGAACTTTGGTGCTGATCCCAGACACGGTCTGTTGAAACCTCACATTCCTTCAGAGGTGACAGAGCTCACAGAGAGCGAGTGAAGTATATCAGAAGATTTACTAGAGAGCTCTGTCGCCGAAACTGCCAATGATATTGGTGAGAATTTGCTAGATATTTTCTGCTTTTAACAATCATCAAGAAGGAGTTGCAAATAAAGCGCACACAGAACGCAACATTCCTTATACGAAACTGTGGAGTGAAATATCTCGAAATTATATTTTTCAATTGCGAAATGAAACGATGCTAACAATGCAGGAAAAAACAATAGATATAATTTTCATTTCATGCATCCTGTTGTGTTATAATATATAATTTATTTATTAAAACCGTCACAACACAACTATATCAAGGTCAGTGCCTAGTTTGGCTCTGCTACATGTTTAGGCTATTCAGTATTCAGTATTAGAGGGGGTGGGTTTCCCCATGCACCGCGACTAGTAGTCTATTGTACGTCCCCTTTTAATTTCTACTGTTGCCATACCCTACCGGTACCGGTGCTCGCTATCTCCCCTTTCTGCCACCGATGTCGGCCCTCTTCTGGCAGTGGTACCCGATAATTTCCCCATCTACCGGAGGAATTGGAAACTACTTGGGCGGGAAACTTTTGCCTAATTTAGCTCAGAGGTCTCCTAGAGACATGAGGATCTTTTACGTGCCGTAAATCTACGACACGGGACCCACGGCTTAAAGTCCCTCCCGGAGGACTTGTTCCCTGAATTTATCCGCCCTTAAAAATTCCACGACCTCCGCCGGGTTTGAACCCACGTACCTTGAGTCATGAGGTGGGAACGTTACCCCTAGACTACGGAGGCCGCTTGTTTCGGCTATTAGTAGCCATCATCAGGCAAACACATGGCTAACTATATATTTCACAATTCTCTTACTTTTCCATTGGTAATTCCACAATACAGCGAAACTGAGAGGGCTCACGCTATGTAAGAACTTAACTTTTAATTTATACTTGCATTCCGACTTGAAATATGTCTGCGAACTCTTAGGGATAAATTTCTTCCAAAATTATTGCCATTCAAATTTCAATGCAGGAAAAAATTAGATTAAAATTCTGGGGCATGGCGTCATCTCCTTACAAGTTACAGGCTTAATAGTATTGTAACGTGTTTTGCTACCGATGACTGGCCTGTTACCGTAGTAGCGACAGCGTCCGATGTTGTTACGTCACCGCTGGCGGGGGAGGGGATGTCCTCAATAGCGCAATACGTCACAGTATATTTACATTATTATAATATACATATTTTAATATTTAATTAGCAGGACATAATAGCACTTATAACATTTAAGTATGTCATGGCGGTACTAATTCCTGTTGTGGACTTAGCGCGTATGGCGCCACGTGGTTAGTGTGTGTACTAACAGTACAGAGGTAATGCAGGGTAAAATCATGACATAAAGATAGGTAACAGATGTTTTGAAAATGTGGAACAGTTCAGATATTTGGGAACGACGATAACAAATCAAAACCTGATTCAGGAGGAAATTAAGAGGAGATTGAACTCGGGTAACGCTTGCTACCATTCAGTTCAGAACCTTTTGTCTTCTCGTCTGCTGTCAAAAAACATACAAATTAGAATATACAAAACTATAATTTTGCCTCTGGTTCTGTATGGGTGTGAAACTTGGTCTTGACATTAAGGGCGGAACATAGAATGAGGGTGTTGAGGAGAATATTTGTACCGAAGAGAGATGAAGTGACAGGAAGTTGGAGAAAACTGCATAATGACGAGCTTCATAACTTGTGCTCTTCTCCAAGTATAATTAGAATGCTCAAGTCAAGGAGGATGAGGTGGGCAGGGCATGTAGCACGAATGAAGACGAGGAACGCATATAGGATATTGGTGGGAAAGCCAGAATTAAAGAGACCACAGGGAAGACCAAGGCGTAGGTGGGTGGACAATATTAAAATGGATCTTAGAGAGATAGGATGGGATGATATGGATTGGATAGATCTGGCTCATGATAGGGACCAGTGGAGGGCTCTTGTGAACACGGTAATGAACCTTCGGGTTCCATAAAATGCTGGGAAAATTCTTGAGTAGCTGCAGATTTGGCTTCTCCTCAGGAAGGGCTCAGCTCCATAAGTAAGTAAGTAAGTAAGTAAGTAAGTAAGTAAGTATTAACAGTACAGAGGAACATACTGTCTCAGTCATTATTTACCCTGAAGAAGGTTGGTTGGTATCCCTCTGTCAATTCATACGGTGTCATAATCCAAAAGACCAGCTATAAATTATAA